AAACTTCAAAACTTGCTTCTCTTGCATGGACTGAATTATTTTCATATCTTTACTATAAACTGACATGAGAATGTCAAATGCCAGACCTTTCTCGTTAATCACAATTCCCCATAGTCTGATAGCACCCCCAGACCTGGTCCCCCATCCTATGACACAGAATCTTGTGTCAATCTTTATGGATCAATGAACTATCCTAGAGCAGAGCTTAATATTGGCAGAGTCAGGATCCTGGATCATTGCTCTTAGCTTTAAACCCTGTTAGTACCCCTCCTTGGGGTGTCAAGCAGTACTCCACAATGCATACCCAGAATGCCCACCTGTCAGCTGGACAAGAGGAAGGTGCTACATGCCCCTTTCTACTCCTATTTATCTTTTAAGACAACTTGAATAGTATCACTTCCTCCAGGAAGCTTCCCTTAATGCCTCTCCCCTATAATGTATATTACTATAACTGTCACCTCATTTGTGATTATGTTTGCATGCATCTATCCTGTGAGTTTCTTAATGTTAGAACTGTTCTTACCGTCTTAATTATAAAAAGGTTTAGCATTAGTAGAGAGATCCCAGGGCAGGAATGAGTAGCATGAGTGAAGGGGAACTTGTGTGGTTTTTTTTAGAGCTGACCAAGAAGTTCACCTTGGCTCTGGGAGGTGGGCCGGAGAGCCAGTGAGGTTGGCAAGGTAAAGCCAACCAGTTGTACAATTATATACAAACTTTCACGCCAAGCATTCCCTGCCTTCATCCTGAGGGCAGAAAGGGTAGCAAAGTGGGACTATCAGAACTGCATTCCAGAAGGCTTTCTCTGAGGCAGAAGAGGAAATTTACTCAAATTGCAGCTGCATTAGCTCACTGGAGGCTTACCACAACACAGAACTTCGATCAGGGAAGATAGTTCAAAGGACTCTGCACGCAAGAGCTCCAGGTGGACGCCCAGCCCCTCATGGTGCTGAGCACTATCGAAGTGCCCCCCAAAACACAAAAACAGAATTCTGAGTCCCACGCTGATTGTGTTTCTTATTTAGAGGGGATTGAAGAGTTTAGGAAGCCCCCTTTTTTTCCAGTTTTAGGGCCATACCCAGCGATGTTCAGGGGTATCTCTTTGCTCTGTGCTTCGAAATTATTCCTGGTGGGGCCTGAGGACCATATGGGATGCTGGGAATCAAATTCAGCTCGGTTGTGTGCAAGGCAAACACCCCCTCCCTGCTGAACTATCTCTCCTGCCCCTCAGGAACCTAATCTCTTACAATTTACCAGCTAATGCTGGTCAAGGACACTTAGAAAACCACTGATTTTGAGGATGGGCTGCAGAAGAGTGAGCAGCAGAGAGGATATTAAGGAAGCTGTTGAAATGGCCCTGTGAGAAGCGATGGAGATGGGACAGGAAGGTCCACAGCTTGGATCGAGAAGCTGCTAAGTGTTCATTGTCCAGTGATGAGGTTTTCTTCAGGTGCGGTGATCAGTTGCTTTTTCTGGGGAGAAATGAGCTTGCAAATGTGCTCCTGACAGGGGGAGCCCTACCCCCCACCCCTCACCAGGGTACCAACCTCCAGAAACACAACAGGACAAGGTGTTGAGTTTGTTTAATGCCCAATCATCACAACGCAAGGAAGCTTCAGTAATGTGCTCAAGGCAGGCCACAGAGCAAAACCAGGTCAGTGCCAAGAGCCCCTGACTGAGTCTCAGCACAGGACCAGGTTTCTCAGGCTGTTCCCTCCTGAGACATTGTGTGCCTAGCACAAGGCTTCTTCATGCACCCAAGAGCCAGCAGTCTGTCTGGCTGGGTTTTTGGTCATTAAGGGTCCTTGTGGAAGAACATGGTCCCAGGATGCATTGGGAACCTCAGGACACAAGAACCAGAAAACTGCTTGCAAACAACTCAAAATGCTTCTGTTCAAATGCACTAAGTCACACAAGGATCAGGTATGAAAACACCCAAGTTCTTGCTAAAATAAAATAAAACAATCAACAGCAACAACAACAAAAACCAACTAAATACTGTCAGAATTTAGCTGAGAATACTTGGGGGCAAAAACAAAGGCAAAGCTATCAGAGCCAGTTTTGAGCTTCACCATCACACGCTCCTTTCCTGCAGCTGAGGGGGTTCTCCGACACTTGCAATGAGAGGGGACATGGAAGAACATCCCCGTGTTAAATCTCTTTGACTCTCCAAGACTACTGAATAACTTAATGCTAGGGGGCTTCCTACAGCCCCAGGGCCAGTCTTCAATCCCTGGGGACAGGAGTGATTTAGGGGCTGCAGATGAGTCTGGGAAACTTCCTGGCAAAAATAATTTACCACAGAAAGAAAACTGACTTTTCTTCTGCCCTAATTTTAAAATTTATCTGGCCCCCAAAAGAACTGTCACTCAAAAACGTGTTCTTAAAGAACTCAATAGAACTGGGGAGGTTTCAAGTGTCTCTCCAAATAGAGGGAAAGGCTTATTTCCCACCTAGTCGCTTGGCTTGGGCATAGGCAGTTGGACCCTGGGCCAAACTGGGTGGGGAAAAGACAGCAGAGGACAGCCAGGGGCATAGGACTTGGGCCTGACTGCCCCTTTGTCCAGTCTTCTGACTGGATATTTTGGAAATGGGCTCAAATAATATTGCCAGACTTCACTATTAAGCTCATTCCTGATGGGTCCTGAGGTCTCTTCTTCCTTGTCTTGGATTTACATCTCAGAAAGCTCTAGAAAGAGCCAAAAGGATAAAAGTTGAACACTGCTGTCCTGAGAGGTGGTGTTTAGCTAACTGGCAGCCCAGCAGAGAGCTGAAGACAGCAACACCAGTCCCAGCCCCACAGCCCAACAAGATGCCCACAGGCCAAGGTGGCCACTTGGCCTTTGGCATTCTGGGCTTCAAGATTAACTGCTGGGGGCTGGAGAGATAGTACCAGAGGGTAGGGCAGGTACTTTATGTGGAGTTGACCTGGGTTCAATCTACAGCACCCCATCTGGTCACCTGAACCTACCAGGAGTGATCCCTGAGTGCAGAGCCAGGAAAAGTCCTGAGCACTGCTGAGTGTGTCCCTCTGAGCCCCCCACTCATCCGCCCAAATTGGTCTTCTGACAGACCCCTGTGAGTCCTGGGGAAAAGAAAACCTATGGTATTTCTGTAAAGCATACAAAATCAGTGCTGTTTAGGGGCTGGAGCGATAATACAGTAGGACGGGGGCTTGTTTTGCATACAGCTGACCTGGGTTCATCCCATATGGTCCCCAAGCCCACCAGGACTGATTCCTGAGTGCAGAACCAGGAATAACACTTGAGCACCACTGGGTGTGGCCCCAAAACAAAATAAAATTAAAAATCAGTGCTGTTTATAGAGCTGACACCTGGGACCTGGAGGCCAGGCCTGAGAGGGGACAAACTTGGGAACCCAGGAAGTTGAGCAAATGGCAAGACACAGCTGTCCCCTCTGGGTATGAGCTCCCATCTATCACCATCTCCAAACAAGTCCACCTTCCAAGCCTCAGATGTCAGCAGGATTGTTCAGGAACAATCCAACGAGGACAACTTCATATCTAAACCAACTTAATGCTACAAATTTTTTTTTTCCTTAAAAGTGCTACCCAGCTGAGCCCCCGAGGAAACCAGCTCCCTGAGTGAGGGGGCCTTCTGGGCCCAGCACCCAGGTTGCCTCTCCCTAGAAGGCACAGACTTGGCACAGACCAGAGCACCCCAGTCCCAGGTTGGATAGAGGAGAAAAGATGATAACCCTGGGGCCCCCCCCCCCCCCCACACACACACACCAGCTGGGACACAAGGATAATGTGGCGTGTCCTTTGAGGCATATGGTGAAGTCAAAAGACTTTTCGGAGCCCCAATCCCAGAGGTAACATGATCCCATCTCCCCATTAGCTGCCAAGGTTTGGTCTGAATGGAAAAGTCCTCCCTGTCACCTCTCTAGAAGGAGCTGACAGGTCACCAAGTCCAGTCATGTCTGTCCTTAGTGGGTGGGGGTGAGATGTCTGTGTGAGAACTGTGAGGGAGGAGGTCCTTCAAGAATCATTCGCTTCAACTAACATAGCAAAAACAATCCTTCCAGGGAGGAAGGACCATATTCATGGCCACCAGAAAGCGTCCTTGGGACAGTTTCTGGGCTTAATCTCACCCTTCTCCATGTTGGCGTTGCCTCTGATTCCCAGTTCCCCAGGGCAAGGCAAGAACAGAGGAAAGATGCCCACAGGAAGCCCTTCCAGCTGCTTCCACATTCCTGTGGGGATTATTTTTACATTCTGAGGGGAGGAGAGGTAAGAATTCCAAAGGAAGGGTGTCTCTTAACCAGCTGCTCCTGTTCCCTCAGGGGCCTCAAGGGGAAATTTCCCTGCAAGCTCTCTGGACCAGAGACCAGGAGGCCAAACTGGAGCCTCTGCTGAGGGCAGGAGAGGCCCAAGGACCCGCAGGCTTGCTTCGAGAATTACAAGGCCTAAGTGCAATGAAGAGTTCCAGCAGACAGAACGGCCCCTCAGGGCCCAGCGCCCCATCACTGTGAGGCAATCAGGGTGGTGGCCTGGTTGCCTGGAAGCCAAGGCCTGCCCTTGGACTGTGCTGGGCCTGTCAGGGAAGTCCAACAAGAAAACGAGAATCTTCTTCCCTGCTAAAACTCAGGGAAAACAAACCAAACTCAACCTGAAATAAACTCCAAGGCTGTAAGTGCTTCCTGATAAGCCGAGGGCGCTAGCTATCCCTCAGAGGGAGGTGGCAGGGCCTGTCTCTGGACCCGGTCATCCCACCTGTGGCCCTTCATGTGAGAGGTCAGACGTAAGAGACTGGGGGAGCTTTCCCAGGCCCCGTGTCCACACAGATGGACTGGACCCAAGCCCTGATATTTTCCTCACTCCCTCCTCCACATCTCCCAGCAGGGGGGCGGCAAAGGAGCCGAGGAGGCCCCGAGCCCTGCGGGCGGCACCTTGTGTCCAATGTCCCTGTGCAGGCGGAGGGCCTGTCAGTCTGTGAGGAGGTAGAATCAGGAGTGGGGCTCCTGGCGGCAGGTCCGGCCCATCAATTGATCAGCAGGTCCCCGAGGTCATAAGAGTCGAAGAGGTCACTGATGCCCTCGCCCCCATCCAGGCCCCACAGGTAGTCGTCGGCTTCCAAGGGTGGGGAGAAGCTGATCAGAGGGGAGCTGCAGGGCAGGGTTGGGGACAGGAATTGGTCCTCTGTCTGCTGCAGAAGCGGGTGTGGCAGCTCCAGCATGCTGTCAGTGGCCTCCAGCGGGACCAGGGGCATTGGCGGCGGCGGTGGTGGCGGCGGTGGTGGCGGCGGGGCTGGTGGCACCTGGTGGGAAGTCAGCGCTGGCGCTGCAGAAAAAGAGGCAAAGGTCACACACCTGGCTTCTGCCAGTCAGGGCTCCACACAAGAACAACTGTGGGGGGGGGGGGATCTAGGAGCTATAGACCCTTCTCCAGTGGGAAGAGTAGAAATGGGCCAGGCAGGGCCACTGAATGAAGCAGCAGGTGCCTGAGGTCAGTGACACAGGGTCGCCCTCCCTTCCTGACCCCCGGCTCTGGCACTGGCCTGGGCTCTCCCACGCTCTTCCAGTTCCTCTCCCCAGGGGGGTCTCCTGCTATCCACACTCCGGGCTCACATTCCACAGGACCCCCTCTCCCCAGCAAGGCCCCTGTCCCTGAAATTCATTCCCAGCTACACGAGCAGCTCCCTCTCACTCTGCTAGATTCCCAGCAGCACACACACACACACACACACACACACACACACACACACACACACAGAGCTCTCGTGGCTCTAATCTTTTTTGTTGTTAGTTTGGTTGGTTGGGTTTTGAGCCACACCCAGCAGCGTTCAAGATTTCTGGTGGGCTCAGGAGAACATATGGGGTACCAGGGGTTGAACATGGGTCAGCAGTGTACAAGTCAAGTGCCCTACCCACTGTAATATCTCTCTAGTCCCTCATCATTCCTATCTTTAAAGAGCTCAGTCCCAGGGGCCAGAGGTTAGAAAATGATTTTTTACCTGGAGTCGGGGAGCAGCAAACAAGGCACCCCCTGCCACAGTGATCCTGATGCCCAGAATCTGACCATTGGAGTCATTCCTAAAACCCCGACCTAGGGTTGCTCTGGAAACAGGAAAGAGAGCACCCCCAGGCTGGCCACGCTGCCTGCCCTACCGACTAACTCCCAGGTGGCTCGGGGACTTAACCTGGAGGAGCCTCTGTCCCCAAAGAGGGCTGCTGCTTACAGCTGCCTCCCGGGAAAGCACAGCTGCTTGGCAGAAACCCCGCACTGGGAAGAGCAACTCCACAGACCCCGCTCCCAGGGCTCAGCTCTGAGGGAGTCAGTGTAGTTACCCTGTTAAGGGAAGAGGAAGTCGAGGAGAGACTGTGGACTGTATTTAAATGGGGTAAAAAAGTGATCAAACATTTGGCATATGGCCTGGGCTCCGGGAGGATGTGACCCCCCTGTCCCAGCTGTAGGCTCCCAGGCTCTGTCTTCTCGTGAGGGCAAACAAGGCTCCACCTCGCCAAGATAACACAGGCGAGAGCCTCTGCTCCCACAAGGCCTTGCTGTCTGGCTACGGCCTCCACTTGGGTTCCCTGGCTCAGGTGCACTTCCCTGGCTCCAACCCTGCACACTGAAACCTACTCCATATTCATGACAGAGTGCTGAGTGGCCCGTTTTAGAGATGCACCCACAGAGGCTCCAGCGGGTGAAAGCCACAGGCCCAGATACCACATCCCAGGGAGTATGGGGGGCCAAGTGCAATCCCTGCTCCCAGTTTTTGCTCCCTGCCTTTGGCTATAGTGAGGGTGTCCTCAGACTATCAGAGTCCAGATGCACAGTAGAAACAGTTCCAGCCAACCAGTGAGGGAGACGGGGAGGGGCGGGGCGGCCATTCCCCTGGCAAAGCCATCACAAGGGCCAAACTCAGGTCCTAAGACAGGGCAGCCTCCTCTTCAGTCAGGGCCCCGACACTCAGACCTCAAAATAAAACTGCTTTAGGCCAGGACAAGGCATCTGAATACAGGGTGTGTGTGTGTGTGTGTGTGTGTGTGTCTCAGAGGGGTGCAGAGAGACAGAGCACCTATAGCATGACCACTTCATATCCTCCTGTTCCTTCAGCAGGAACAGCAGAGAGCCCCCTGCAGTGTGTGTGGGGGTGCAACCCCTACGTGTTCCCCATCTCCTCCCCCTTATCGGCCTAGCCCCACCTCGTCTGCTCTGTAAGGGGAGGTGAGAAGCTGACCTCTCCAGGGGCCACCAGCTTCTCAGAGGACCACTGAAGAGAAGGTGGCTCAGCTCCTGAGAGTGGAGCATGTGTTGACAGCGGATTGAAGAGGCAGTGGGGCAGGAGAGGGGGGAGGGGCACGGGGTGGGGCACAGTCTGGAGCGGGAGATAGGCACTGGGAGGTGCCCCAAGGAGCAGAGGGCAGGTCCAGGGAGAAGCACCGGTCCGGGGACCATGCTAGGACACCGGAGAGATTACCAGAGCAGGAAGTCGAGCTCAAGCTCTGTCATCAGTTTGCTGTGGGGCCTTAGGGAAATCACTTGCCCTCTCTAGACCTCAGTTTACTCATGTGTGAAATGAAGGGCTGAATTTAGATCAGTGAATCTTAGTGAAGAACCTGTGCACAGAGCCAGGAGTCAACCCTGAGTACAAACAGGTGTGCTCCCACCACACACACACACACACACACACACACACACACACACCAAAAAAAACAAAGCAAAACAAAACCAAAACTTAGTTCTTCTCTCCTAAGTATTAAATTTCTCATCAAAAATCTGCATATTCCGGGGCCAGAGTGATAGCACAGCAGGTAGGGCATTTGCCTTGCATGCAGCCAAAACTGGGTTCAATCCCCAGCATCCCATATGGTCCCCCAAGCACCGCCAGGAATAATTCCTGAGTGCAGAGCCAGGAATAACCCCTGAGCATCGCTGGGTGTGACCCAAAAAGCAAAAAAAACAAAAACAAAAACAAAAACCTTTACATTCCTATTTGCCCACAGCTAGACACTCTGCAGTTAAAACCCTCATACACAGAAAGAACAGCACGAGCAACAGAGACAGCACGTCAAAACAAAAGCTAACAGTTCTTGCCAGCACTGTTTGAAGCATTTTACCCACCATAACCCATTTCATTCTCCCCACATCTTAGGGAAATACTGCGAATCACTATGCCAAATTTGCGGCTGAGGAATGTGATGCCCAAGAGCTGCCCAATTTGTCCGAAGGCCACCTCACTGGAATTCAGATCGGCCTCTCTCTGGTACCAGTCTTCAGTGCAATGAGGCCTATGCCCGGGTCTCGTAAGGTACAAAGAAGAAAGCACAGGCTGGAGTGATAGTACAGTGGGCAGGGTACTTACCTGAGTACCACTTGAGAGAGAGAGAGAGAGAGAGAGAGAGAGAGAGAGAAAGAGAGAGAAAGCAAGCAAGCCATAGTGGGTCAGAGAGATTGCACAGCAGAGGCTGGTTCAGTACTTGGTACCACACATGGTCCCCAGAATACCACCAGGAGTGGTCCCTGAGTACAGAGGCATGAGTAGACCCTGAGCACCAAGGGATATGACCCAGTCCCCCCATCTTAAAAAAAAAATAGAAGGCAGAGTGATACTACAGCGAATAGAGCATTTGCCTTGCACACGGCCGACCATGGTTTGATTTCCAGAATCCCATATGATCACAGGTATGGCAACAAAACAAAACACAACAAAGGAATAAAGCATAATTTATGAATGCGGAGTAGAAGGAAGGTTCCAACAAACACTGACCTGGAAGGGGAAACCTTGGTTGCATTCCCCAGACAGAGAGGGCCCTACCTGGAGATGCCACGGGTTCTGAAATGCCAGGGGTGATGCTACTGCTGGGCTGGGTGGAGTCACAAACAGGGCTGAGGGTGGAGGAGGAGGGCAGGAGCTCCTTAGCAGGACTGTCCGGTTCCTGCACCTCCTCCGGGCACAGGTAGACTTCAATGGGCCCTTGGGTGCTCTTCAGGTAGATCTGCAGGTTGTCCTGGAGTGGAAAGAGAAGGTGGCCCGGCACTCGGGGTCAGTGCATACAGAAGAATCCTCCCAGCTCTTGCCAAGCACGCACACCAGCCAGGCACCCAGTCCTGTGCCAGCTGCCCTGTGGGCCATATCTGCTCAAGTTGCCTGTTGGGCCCCCACTCTGATGTCCCTTTGGGAAACAAATCTTCCCTGCTGTCAGATCATGGAGATGAGGTGGGGAGGGAAGTAGCTACTCGGGGTATCACCTCAGACCAGTCCCATCAGGGTCAGGCCCACAACATGAGGAGCAAATGGAAACTCCCACCCCTTTGAGCTGCTGAGCTGGGGTCCTAAAGTCTGGCTTTACCAAGAAAGGGGGAGGGGCGCTCACCTGGGATGGCACAGAAAAAACAGAGTGAGGGAGAGAGGAGAGGGAGATTTTGAGTTGCAATTTGAACCCTGACTCCTAGTTTCTCCTGCAGTCTCCAAATCTCCCAGACCTGTCACTTAGCTCCCTGCCCCGCCCTCCTAAGACTTAGACTCCATGTGGTGTCGCTCGTCACAAGAGTTCAGATACTGAAGCGCCTCTTCTGCTTCCACTGCCCCTCTTCCTTTTTCATACCTCCCCCTTGCCACTGCTAAGCCACAATGATTACAGACCTGCCAGGGGCATGCAATCCAGCCTGCAGGCCTGGGCCATGGGGGCTCCAGTCGGTCACTGCTCTGCCAGGCAAAAATCCCACTCATTCCACAAGAACTAGTTAGGCCGTCACCACCCTTGGGTTCTTAGACCGGCCAGCCCTTTCTCCCAGCACCTCCTCAGTCTCTAGGTGTCAGCCTCACTGCCTGCTTGCTTGGGTCTTTTTATTCAGAGTGCCTCTAAAGAAAGATGAAACTTTATTTTTTTGTTTTGCTTTGTTTTGGGGCCACATCCAGCGATGCTCAGGGTAACTCCTGGCTCTGCACTCAGGAATTATTCCTGGAAGTGCTCAGGGGACCATATGGGATGCTGGGGATTGAACCTGGGTCGGCCGTGTGCAAGGCAAATGCCCTACCCACTGTACTATCTCTCCAGTCCAAGATGGAGCCTTATTGATTCCTCCACGAAATAATTTATTTCTTGAGTCCTTATCATCCATCTAATTCTGGGCCGAGGACAGAGCATGAGTGTTCCAAGCCGTGGTGGTCTTAGGTTTCTTGGAGGAAGCGACATTCCAGTTGGGTCATGGTAAAGCAGGACAGAGAGAGGAAAAGGCTGACGGGAACCCAAGCAGGGAGGTCTTGTTCTAGGGACGTTTTCTGTGGGGCAAATGAGGTCAGTGTGGCCCCAGCAAACCCAGGGAGGGGCTAGTGCTGATAAGGAGATTGGCCAGGGCAGCACGACACACTTTAGGGGAAAACTCTGCTGAGCATGTGGTTTCTTGTGGGCACATGACACCTTGGATGGGAGACACAAAGGAAGAAGGAGAGTTTCTCCTGGTCTAGAACCTGATCCCCTTGTCCTTTCCAACTTCTATTTCTGTCCCCTCAGAGACCGTCAATCATGCCACAGGGATCAGACTGAAGAGGGAAGCTTGTGCTGGGCAGTGCCAGGGACAGAGGCGCCAGGGCTGCCCCAGGTTCTCCTCAGTCCGTTCTCTCCCAAATGACTCCTACTCACCTCGTTCCTCTCGGGCACCTCCAGTCTTGTCTGTGGAGGGGCCTTGACAGCGATCACTGTCTGCTCCTTAAAGTTGCCAACAGCCCGGATGTCCTGGTAGGTCACATAGGCCAGTGTAGGGGCGGGTGAGTTAAGGGAAAGGGAAGTGACTGGTCAAAATTCAAACCCCAGCCTGGCGGACAGGGCCAACCCCCCTCTGCTAAACCTCTGACCATCTCACTCTGACTCCTTTATGCAGCTTCAATGTGACAAGAACTATTCTGTGGCCAGAGAGAGAGATGGCTCAACGTGCTGAGTGCCAGCTCTGCATGTGGGAGGCCTGACTGGGTTCACTAGCACCACACGGCCTCCGGAGAACTGTTGGGTGTGGCCCTGAAGGTTGAGCATTCCCAGGGTGACCCTCTGGAACTGTCTTACTGAACTACCCACCCGGTCAGCTGAGTATGTATGGCCCAGAGTGGCCCCTGTTCCCTTGAGCACTGCTTGGGAAGCGTATCCCCTACAGGAAAAAAAAATACGTAGAAACTAGATAGCAAACTGGCATTATAGAATGTGGTGGAACTATTCAAGACAGCTTTGACTTTTTTTTTCTTTTTGGATCACACCCAGCAATGATCAGGGGTTACTCCTGGTGCTGCACTCAAGAATTATTCCTGGAGGTGCTCAGAGGACCATATGCGATGCTGGGAATCGAACCTGGGTCGGCCACATGCAAGGCAAATGCCCTACCCGCTGTGCTATGGCTCCAGTCCCCCAGTACAGAAACTTTTAGACAAATGAAAAGACAAAAAGTTGGACAAAGGTGCTGCAGAGATAGCTCAAGGAGCTGAATGCAGGCTTTGGAGTCAGGAAACCTGGGTTCAATCCCCAGCAACAACAGTCCCTGAGCACCTCCTTGAGTGACTCCTGAACATGACCAGGTGGTGCCAAAAAAACCCACTGAAAAAGAATCGGACAAAAATTATGATGCATTTCTGTAAAGTTTGTGAGTGTGGCTGCCTTTCCTTCCACCTCTGCTACCTCCTCCAGCCCTGAGGCAGCAGAACCACCCACTCCACTCCCTCGGGAGCCTATTTTGTGCAGAAGATGAAGATGGAAGTAGTTACAAAAGTAAATATAAAACATGAATTAATCAGCTGTTACAGGCCAGACTCCCACTCACCAGCAGGTTAGTTTGAATTGGGGTGGGGGTGGGGGGACTAGAAAGTGGTACCCTAATTTCCAACTGCCCCTCCACATCGTGGAAGAATCCACTGTACTTGTCTTATTCCTTTTTTTGTTTTTGGACCCAACCCAGCTGTGTTCAGGGTTATTATCTCTGGTGGTGCTCGGGGGACCATATGGAATGCTGGGAATGGAACCCAGGTTGGCCTAGTACAAGGCAGGTGCCTTACCTGCAGTACTATCATACTGGTCTCTCCTGGCCTTAATTCTACAGTGAGAAAGTAACTTCAATAGACCCAAGAGGAGGAAGGAAGAAAAAGAGATGCCAGACCCCAAGGGCAAGCAAGTTCCTGTAGGAATGTGCTACCGCAACTCTGGATAGATACCAACAAACCACAGGCCTCTCTGCTCCCTGACCCCTGGCCCCTTCACTCCCAGCGCAGAGGATATCTCTTGTTGGCCTTGTCCTCCGTCAGGTGCTTGAAGCTCAGAGAGCAGCTCTGGATGAGCTGGTCCAAGGACTGCTCCATGCTTGTCAGCTCCTTCAGCTCCTGCCCCAGCTGCTGCTGCTTCCCAGGCCGGGTGGGGTCTTCCGACAGTGCTCTGCCTCTGAGAACAGAGCAGCCCCCATGTCAGTCTCAGTCGACCCCCACGGCCCCAACCCGGACAACTATGCAGAACCATATACAAATGAGGCAGGTAAAAGTGCCAGGAAGGGTATCAGGGATGGATGCCCAGCACTGGACCTGCTCTCAGGGAACTGCCAGGGACTGGAGCTTGAAGAAGAATTAACAAGTCAAGGTATGAACTCTATTGGGGGGAAGAGGGATCAACTTTGTCTATCCTGTGCCTCAGTTTCTCCCCGAAACTGGCAGGCAGTTGGAGTTTCTTCTCCCGCCCAGGTTCCTTGGGCTTATGCCAGGGGCTGTAGGGCTCTTCAATCAGACCTGGGAAGATGGCTCAAAGGGCGAGAGTGCAGAGCCTGGGCTCAGTCCCTGGCAGTGCATGGTCTCCCAAGCATTGAGCTGGGCACAGTCTCCATGCATTTTGCAGGTGTCATGGGGATGGGGGGGGATGGTGTGGTTCCCCAAGTGCCACCAAGAGTGATCCCTGAGGGCAGTCAGAAGTAAGCCCTGAGCACAGCAGTTTGGGGTCCATGAAAACAAAAACAATGCAAATAGAGACCTGTAAAAGTGAGGCAGGAGCGGGAAGTACTATCTCAGAGCTGCAGGGAGCTTATACCTCGCAAAAGCCTGTTGAACTTCACTTTTGGTCCACCTGACATTCACAGCCATCGGAGCCGGTCCCTGGCTCTGCCCACTGCAAGGGTACCCACCGGTGCCCTCAGCCCTGGCACTCACACCCACTGGATGTTGTTCTTGGCCTTCTTGCGGATGAGCTGGATGCCCTCCAGTACGTTGGTGATGTCATAAATGCGCCGCTTCTGCACGTCCAGCACTTCCGCTGCCCAGTTCAGATCCAGGACCCCATCCTCAGACTCATTCAGGAGGTAAATGAACTTCTTGGTGAGCAGACCCAGTGACGTGTCATACCGAGTCTTCTCCCCAGGAGACTTGGGAGCTGAGGAAGAAAGGAGCCCCGTGACTGCTCAACTAAACCTCCTCCATCAACCAGGACCTAGTAAGCATCACCATCATCACATCAGCACCTACTTGCCAGACTACAGAACACTGGGAGGCAGGGGTCACTCACCAGCACTGTGCGAACCAGGAACCAGGTATCTAGACAGGAAGTGGCCTCCTTAAGATCTCCCATGGGGTGAGTGATAGTTCAGCAGGAATGGCACTTGCCTTGTATACGACTGACCTAAATTAAATCCCCAGCACTCCATATCCCCAGAGCTCACCAGGAGTAATCCCATAGTACAGAGCCAGGAATCAGCCTGAGCACCACTGGATGTGCAACCTCCCCAACCAAAAAAAAAAAAAAAATTTCCCAGCCAGGGCCAAAGAAATAGTACAGAGGGTAAGGTGCTTGCCTTACATGTGGCTGATCCCAGTTCAATCACATACAATCTTCTGAGTACTACCAGGAGTGACCCCCGAGCACAGAGTCAGGAGTAGCCTCTGAGCACTGCCAGGTGTGGTGCCAACTCTTCCTCGTCCCCAAAAGAGATTTCTCTGTCAGATGCATTGATGGGGCTGGAAAACCTACGTCCTAAGCCCTGATTCAGAAACCACTCCACACAACCTTAGGGAAGCTATACACCACCACCACCACCAAATATTTACCAACCGTTGTCACTGTTCTAAGCACTTTCCCTATATAACAAATTTAATCCTTACAACCCCTGTAAGCTTGGCAGACAACCATTTCCATTTTATATCCGAGAATCCAGACTCACAACCAGTTAAGAAACTTCTTAAGGAATAAAGGACAGAGGTCAGGGTGCTCGTCTCACATATGCAGGACCTTGAGTTCCACCTCAGCACTACCTGCTCCTCCCCCCTCAAGTACCACCAGGTGTGGTGGACTCCGGTGGACCCCAGCACTGCTGGACTGGAGCAGCACTGCATCACCAGGCCTTAGTGTGGAACTGACAGGCTGGGTGGCCAAGTATTACTGGAAAGGGTCCCTGAGCACCCTGAGCACTGCTTGGGAGGTCCAAAAAAAGAAACCTGTTCAGCTAGGAGTGGCAAAGCAGAGATTTAAATCCAGGAATCCTGGCTTCTTGAAACAGAAAGGAGACTGTGTCTTCCTTCTTAATCATTACCCTATCCTGCCAGTTATGTCAGGAATTTGGAAACGGGGTAGGAAGGGAATAACAAGATTGGATTTGAGAACATGTTTATCAACTTGGTCTTTCTTCTCATGTGTTGCTCAACGATTGTGAGGAATCAGTCCTAGACTGTCAAAAGGAGCAGATTCATGAAAAAGGTCTCTTTCTTAATGAGGCCAACGTCACAAGACCACATTTCAGATGCAGCTCTTAAACCACAAAAGGACTTTTGCAATCAAGGAATTTGTAAATCATATAGCAAGAGAGTGGTCAAACAAGTTCTGGAAACTGAAATTTTAGTGTGTCACAGATTCCTTGGGACAGGACTTGACTTAACATATAGAAGGCAGCCATCTGGCACACAGACTGCTTTGCTTTGTTTTGACAGCACATCTGGTGGTAACCAGCACTTAGGGTTGTTCTCAGTAGTGCTCGGGGGATCACGTGGTGCTGGGGATAGGACCCAGGCCTCGTGTAGGCAAAGCATGCACTCCAGCCCTTTGAGCTCTCCGATGGACACAGGTACTGATTTTACAAATTTTGCAACCAAGGCAGATATTACTAATTGATTGCCCTTAGGCTCCTTTAAAAAAGAACTTTGGGCAACCTCTATCAATCAACTGAAGAGGAAACTTCCTATTCTTCATCACTCCTTCCTTCCTTCAGAGGAAACTCCTTTCTTCCTTTCTTCCTTCCTTCCTTCCTTCCTTCCTTCCTTCCTTGAGAGGAAACTTCCTATTCTTCATCACTACTTCCTTCTTTCCTTGAGAGGAAACTTCCTATTCTTCATCACACCTTCTCCTTCCTCCCTCCTTCCCTCTCTCCCTCCCTCCCTCCCTCCCTTCCTTTCCTCCTTCCTTTCTTCCGGCTTTTGGGTCACATCAGGCAATGCTCAGGGGTTTACTTCTGGTTCTGCATTCAGGAATTACTCCTGGTTGTGCATGGAGAACCATACAGAATGCTGGAGATGGAATCTGTGTCAGCTGCGTGCAAAGCAATTGCCTTCTCCACTATACTATGGTGTTTTAGGGATCACAAACCAAGGTTCACAAAAGAGGAATAAGCCAGGGCAGCGCCCTGCTCAGATCCACCAAATTTCCTCTTTTCTTGGGGGGGAGGGGGAGATGGTGGGGGCCATTCCTGGCTGTGCTAAGGGGTAACTCCTGGCTCTGCACTCAGGAATCACTCTTCACAGTACTCAAGAGACCATGTGGAATGCCAGGGATCAAACCCGGGTGGGCTGCGTGAAAGGTAAGCAAGTACCCACTGTGCTATTTCTCTGGCCCATCAGACCCCCCTCCTCCAAACTTCTGACCATCAGGCTTCCACCCGGTCATATGCCTTTTTCACTAGGCTTCCAACCCCCTAAATTAGCAATCCTTACTAAATACAGGTCTGCTGTGACCAGAGTATTCACTTAAAATATCAAGAGGCAGAAATTCCCTCCCACTTAGCTTTAGAAAAAAACATCTGGGCATCCTCTGGATCGTAAAACTTCCTGGGCAAGACAGTGAGTAAATCCCCTGTTGTTTCCCCTGGATCACTTATTTATTTATTTATTTATTTATTTTTTAATGTTTTTGGTGTTTGGGCCACACTTGCTTTGCTCAGGGATCACTCCTGGCGGGCTCAGGCAACTATACAGGGAAACAGGAATAGAATCTGGGTCAGTCACGCGCAGGGCACAAGCCTTACCTGCTGTGCTACTCTCCAGCCCCAGATCACTTCCAGAGAGGAAGACCCTGGCTAGCCCCTCTGCTCTTCTGTACTGGATTTTCTCTTTTAGAAAACATCAGATTGAATTAAATTTAAAAGAACTTTTTATTCTCTTGGCTATACTCAGAGGTGGTCAGGGCTTATTCCTGACTCAGTGCTCCGGGGTCACTCCTGGTGGGGCTCAGGGACCCTATGGGGCACTGGGGATAGAGCCCAGGTCAGCTGCATGCAAGGCAAGTGCTCTGCCTGCTTTACTATCTCTCCCACCCCCCAAACCTTTTAAAAGTAGCATGCTCCTAAGTAAAGGGTCGGTCACCATCTTTAGGTCACAAGAGTTTCCATGGTGTGGGAGAAGTAGCTAGAAGGAGTGGATACTGCGGTTCTAGTTCACACGGCCCAAACAGACCCCATGTATCAGCTGGGAGACCGCGGGCAGGTCACTCAAAGCCTGAGTCTCAAGTGCAATGGGAAACCTGCCCACCTACAAGGCCCCTAGTGGGAATGAGAATGGCCTGTAAGTGGGACAGCGTGGTGAACTGGACAGGACTGCTGCCCTCTGCCCCTGTGCACCCCACCCCCATCTCCTGAGCCTGCCCAAAGATGCCCGATCAGTACCGCTTACTTTTGGGGCTGGGAAGACCATCCAAGCGAATGTACTTCCCCTTGGGAGTCCGGAATTCAGGAACCACAGGCCTCCCGATCCCCTCCAGGTCCAGCTTCCTTTTGGCCTTGGAAAGAGAGAGGAGAGAGAGGTAGGGTTTGAGCAGCATTCCACCTTCAGCCATTCCGACACGGAGCAGCCACTGCTCATGCCTCAGTTTACCGACCCATGAAACAGTCTCAGGACTTGGCATATCGGTATCAACGACCTGAAAAGTGAGCTTCCAGGGGGAAGAAAGCCTTGTTTTTTGAAAGGGCCCTGACAGCACTGTCCCCCTCTGAGGCCCAAGCTCTTGAGCAAGATGAACTGAGAACTCACGGAATCTTAAAAACAGGCCCCAATGGGGCTGGAGGGATAGTATAGCGGGTAGGGTATTTGCCTTGCATGGGGCCAACCCAGGTTCGATTCCCAGCATCCCATATGGTCCCCCAAGCACCACCAGGAGTAATTCCTGAGTGCAGAGCCAGGAGTAACCCCTGAGCATCGCTGGGTGTGGCCCAAAGAAGGAAAAAAAAAAAAACAGGCCCCAAAGTCACTTCCACATCCCTTCCCGCCCCTCCAGGACGATGCAGGGAGGAAGGAGTAGGTGTGGCCTAATCCCACACATCAGGCTGGGGAGCAGGCCTCCCCCCTTCCCCTGCCAAGCAGCTGGCCCAGCCAGCCTCGGTGCCCATCACAGCCCCACAGCTGGCCCTTATCAGGGTGGGGCTGGGCATCCGCCCAGACCCAGGGGACTTCCTGGCTCAGTGCCACACCCGAGGGAGGTGCCCACATTGGGAAGCAATGCAAACAACCCACCCCCCCATCCCTATATTTGAGCTCCAGCTTGAGGGCCCCAGGGCCGCCTGAATAGACTTCATTTGCCATTCTTTGCCCAGAAGGGCAGACAATGAAGCCTTCCCCGTGTCTTAAGGACCAGCAGCTGAGGCCCCTCTGCTCCTCCCCCCTCTCCCCATGCCCTGTTCCCGCCAAGCTTGGGAAACACCTGCTGGGGAAATCAAACCACAGACCCATCTGTTCCTCTCCACACCACCACCACCAGCCCAATGAGGCTCAGAACTGCAGTGCCCCGGAAGGGGCCTCTCTCCTGCTCTTGGCTGGGCCAGGGCAGGGCACGGGCACCAGGGCAGTAGGGCATAGGTCAGAGCCCTGGGTTTGAGCCTCCCCTCTCCTTCATGCACTCACTGTGACCTGGGAAACACTCCACATCTAAGAGTCTGTTTCCTCCTCTGTCAAGTGGGGAAAAAAAAATCAACCTTCCTTGGGGTTGGATAGACAGTACAGTGGGGAAGCCTTGCATGCAGTCAACCCGGGTTCGGTCCCCAGCATCCCATCCCCTCACCCCTGAGCACTACCAGAGTGATTCCTGAGTGCAGAGCCAAGAGTAACACCTGAGCATTGCTGATGTGGCCCAAACACAAAAACAAAACAAAACAAAAAAAGAGACCTTCCTCAAGGGGCAGTTGTAAGGATTTTGAGGAAATATCTTCTGCCCTGTGCTCAGTCTGTGGCTCCGCATGTAATAGCTGTCCAGAAATGCAGTGTCCTGGGGCTGGAGCAATAGTACAGCCGACCCGGGTTCAATTCCCAGTACCCCATATGGTCCCACAAGCACTGCCAAGAGTAATCCCTGAGCATTGCTGGGTATGGTCCAAAAATGGAAAGGGGGCTGGAGCAATGGCACAGTGGGTAGGGAGTTTGCCTTGCACGCGGCCGACCCGGGTTCGATTCCCAGCATCCAATATGGTCCCCTGAGCACCGCCAGGAGTAATTCCTGAGTGCATGAGCCAGGAGTAACCCCTGTGCATTGCTGGGTGTGACCCAAAAAGCAAAAAAAAAAAAAAAAAAAAAAAAAAGCAAAAATGGAAAGAAGGAAAAAAAGAAGGAAAGAAGGAAGGAAGGAAGGAAGGAGAGCAGGAAGGAGATTCCTTCCCTCAAGTGCAACCTCAGCCTCTTCACTGACACACCTGCTGGGGGTCACAAGGGCGCACTGCTTTTCTCTCCTCCTCCCCACTTCCTGGACACCCCTGCCCTGGATGAAACAGAAATGCCTATTTTTTCATTGTTTCAGAGGGCCACACCCAGTGGCACTCAGGACTACCCCTAGTGATGCTCAGGGGACCGTGTGGTGCCAGGGAGCAAACCAGGGCTTCCAGCATGCAAAGTATGCACGCCAGCCTGCTGAGACCTATTTTACTTAACCTTTGGTAGTGATGCGGTCACGCTCAGCAGAGCGAAGGCTTCTAACTGCTGCTGACACAACTGAGCTGACAGGTGTGAGATCCGGCAACAGCTCTTCCTGTTGTCAGCTGCCCCTACCTCTGCCTTCTCCGGAAGGTCTTCCTGGACTATTGTGAGGACCCCTGATCCTTCATTGGCAGCGTCTAAGTACGATCTCCCTTTCCTTCCTCCTCATACTATACAGGATCCAAATACCTCCTTTATTCCTTTTATTATTCCTCTAGAGTTCTCTCTGGAATATTCCTTTCCTAACCTCCTGACTGGTAAGCTCCTTGGTTCTAGGGAGTGATTCATCAACCCTCAGTTTGTCTCTAAGGAAAAGCCCACATTCACTGAGATCTCCCCATGCCCCGGGCCAAGCTCCAATAGCCAAGCCCTCACAGAACCTTTCCAAGACCACAAAACCCCATCTGAGAGCAGAAGGATGGAGAGCTGGTGAGCCCTGAGGCCTTCAGCCGTCCCAACCTATTCCAGGAGCCTCCATCCGTCTCTTCAAGGAGCTCTCAGTGCAGGGAGAGGAAGGGAAGGTCAGACTAGGGTCTAGCAGAGGCAGAGTGGGCTCATCCAGATCTCCTCACCCCCACTCTGGCCCCCAACCCAGGCTGGCCCCTGCTGAGCTCACGCTCTGAGACACACGAGGCGCCTGCAGAGTCCTGAATAAGGGACCCCGTGCTGGCTGCATGTGCCGCTCCGTCCTGCCCCAGCAGTATGACAAGGCACGGGACACAGAGGGCGTAAGTCACCTGCCCAAGATCACACAGAAAAGAGCTGAGTCAGGACTCATGTCAGTCTGACTCTGAGGCCATATGCCAGGCTGCCTCGGTGCCATCCCAGCAAGAGACCCCAGAGTTGCTAGAATTTGAGCCAAGGCCTGGCTGTGCCCATATACCTCCAGCCCTTTAGTGTATACACACACACACACACACACACACACACACACACACAACCTCAAGGCCCGTAAGCTGAAAAGTGCTCCCTGATACCTTCGGGCATGGCTGAAGAGGAGCCAGCAAGGACAGAGGTGACAGAGGACCATAGGGAGGACCAAGGTGAGGGACAGCTGAGCCCAGGCCTTGGAACCGGTCTTTCCTGGGTTCCCCTCTCATCTCCCCATCCACTTGACCCCATGGGCGGATGAGCCGGGCACATCCGTTGACCTCTCAAGCCCTATTCATAAACTGGGGCTAACGTGTTCCATCTCTGCCAGGACTCAGACATACACGCAGCCAAGTGCCTTGCCCATGGTGGCAAGTGTCACGTGGGAGAATTGCTGGCACTGAGGCATCAGGGGTGCCAGCAGGAGGAAAGAGCAGGCTGCAATAAACGGGGAGGGGCTAGAGCAAAGGTCTGGGGCACGCCTACAGCCACCTGCCCGCCCCTTTGGCTATTTCTAGAAAGCCTGGCCAGGGCATCAGGATGTGACAAGGCATTTGGCTAGTATGTATGAGGTCCTGAGTTTTCTCTCTTCTCTCTCTCTCTCTCTCTCTCTCTCTCTCTCTCTCACACACACACACACACACACACAAACACACCTTACCAAGCCCCAGGGAGAAAAGCAAAATTCCTTCCTCAGAGGCCCAGAGACTACCAGACAAAGCCCTTTCCCCACAGTAAATGGGGAAACCTGGGCTCAGAGCAGGGGAAGTGAATGGCCCAGATCACCGGGAAGTGGAGTCAGGCACTTCCAAAGCACTAAGCCCTGGCTCCACAGTCGGAAGGAGCGAGCATTCGGGGTTGAACCTTTTGCCCTGGGACCCTCTGCCATGCCTCTATGAGCCAAGATGTCCTTATCTGGCCTCGTCAGGTGGTTTGTGGAAATGGTGATGTTCTTTGGCCTGGTTCTTTTGTGATGTTCTTTGGTGATTTGTGGAAATGCTCATTCAGTTTGAGGCCTCTCAGAGAAAATGGGCAAATCACAAGGGAAGCCGAGCAGAATGCCCACCCTCCGCACAGTTGCCGCAGGGTACACTTGAGGAGGGCAATGTGGCCAGCCAGAGCAGGCACTCAGCATAGCAGCATGCCAGCTGGCTTTCTCCAGAAGGTGCTGGAAAGAGCACCAGAAGGGCAGTGAAGGGAAGTGGACTCTCACTTTCACTTAGACTTGCTTGCCGCCCCCGGGCAGCGCCTGAGGTCCCTTTAAACAGTGGCTCTGCCACAAATCCTGCACACCCTGCACTTTGCAGCCCAGCCACAAAGCAAGCAGCCACACCCAGGGTTGGGTTTGGAGCCGTTCCAGGTCACGCCCTGGTAAAATGAGTAAGCAGGGGACCCAGGCCTGCCCACAGGGCTGGGGACATAGACATCTGGGGGCTGACAGGAGAGAAAAAAGGAGGCTCGGGTCTGGTAAGCTTTTCAGGTCATCTGATACAAGGAGACCACCCCACGGCAGGTCTTGGCCTATGTCTCGGAAAGATGACTTTCTGTCACTGCTCAGCTTCCTCATCTGATGTCCTGAGGTCTCATCCCTGATACCCTGACCAAGATAACAAATGGAGAGACTGCCAAGCAGTGCCCAGCACAAGACAAGCAGAGCCCCAAAGAAAGCCATTCTTGCTGAGATCACAGAGCCCCGCGGGGTGAAGGAGCAAACAGTAGCACTGGGCTCACTGGGGAGGGAAGCAGTTAAAAACCACAGCTGTTATGGAGACTCCGCCTGAGTGCCTGACAGCAGCTGGCCAGAGGAGAGCGTGGGCTCCCCCACTAAGCCCCTTCTGGGGGCTACCAGCTCCCAAGTCAGGCTGTAGCAGGCAAAGTTAAGTCTTCAGGGAAGAGACTGACAGAGCTGAGATTCACAATCACATTGGGGGTCATGCCTACATCCCCCTGTATGATACTGAACACACCGCATCCCTTCTCTGAGCTTCAGTTTCCTTCTGGTCACCTACTGCACAAGTTGACCGAACAAAACAAAAATGCTTTGGGCTGCAGAATGTTGAAGCCAGCCCCACTTATCCTCAGCCGCTCGACCTGTGAAATGGGAAGCGAACTCCTGCTTCCTTCCTGCTCTTTGGAAATCATCGTGCAGCAAGGTGAATGCCCTGAGCATGGTAAAGCAGAAGCCCAGTGGCAGAGACTAGGGGCTCTGTCCGAGGGCTGTGCCAGCTGATGGACACAGACCTCTACAGTGCTGCAGTGATCTTCTCCAGGTCCTGAAGTTCCTCCGCGCTCACACTTAAGTAGATTCACAACACCCCCTCTCCCTCCAGACAGTACTTGCAAAACCCACCGGATAAACAAGGAGGAGAGCATGACCGCACCCACAACCCCCCCCATACACACACACCTTTGCAGAAGGAAACCAAAGGCCCAAAGCCCCCTCACACCAAACAGAACAAAGACTTGTCCAAAGACACACAATGAATCATCAGCAATCAAAACCCCAAACCAGGCTCCCCAGCCTCGGCCCACCCCACACCCCCAGGGCCTTTCCCACTCCACCCCCACCCAATGGCTGTTTCAGTTTTTACCGGCTCCAAGAATTCCGCTCCCACAAAACACACCCTGTGCAGTGCCACCACACTCCGGGCCCTCCCTGGCAACAGGCCTGGGGGTTTGAGGAGGAACAATCTGAACAAGAAGAACCCCAGGGGCTGCCCTGACTTGCACCTGCTGCTGGCTATCTGGGAGGGGACTGCTAGGGGGGAAACCGAGGGCAGATTTTTGCGGAGGAGTGGATGGGATGGAAAATTTGGAGTGGGTCCCAAACAAACTGTACCTGAGAGACAACCCCCACCACCACCACCCTTTAAAGTCCACACTGTAATCCTATGCCAAGGCCCTGGGCCGGGACAATAGCTGGAGTCCAGCGCTGGCTTCTGGGTCAAACAATGAATGAAAGAATGAATGAAGCCACCTCGTTTGCCGGTTCCCGGGAATTCTCCAAGGTCGCAGGGAGCACTTGGGGGGCAACGGGCTAGATCGCCACACTCCCCACTCAGTGCCGCACCCCAAATGGATAAGCTGATTTCCATCCCAAGTCTAAAACAGTATCTTCGGCTCAGATGTTGGTGCGGGGGGGGCGGGGGAGGGGGGAGGGAATGTTGCTAGGGGTCCACCCTCTCCATCCCCCAACTCGACCCGCATCTCTCGGGGGAGGCCCAGACGCCCCTCCCTCCTTTCCCACGCCCGGCTCAGCAGGAGGAGAAGCCGTCGGGCGCGGGCAGGGGGTCAGAGGCGCAGGGGTCCCCAGCGTTACCGGTAGCCGGCCGGCGGGCACGCAGCGCACAGCCTGGCCGTCCGGGCCGTGCGGGGTGGCGTCGAGGCAGGTGCCCGGCGCGGCGGCGGGAGGCACGGTCTGCGGGTACAGCGGCGTGTAGTAGGCGGTGGTCTGGCAGAGCTGCGGGCTGCCGAGGCCGGGGGGCCAGAGCTCCGAGGGGCTCAGCGCGGCCATCGCTTTCGGCGGCGGTCCGGCGGCGGGAGCCACGGCCGCGGGTCCTCGGAGCATGGCGAGAGCAGCGCCCCCTGCCCCCGCGGGTCGGGCACCTGCGGGCTCTCCCGGGCCGCCGCCGGACCCTCCCCTGCTGCCCCGCCCCGCGCCCAGCAGGAAGGCCCCCGCTCCGGGCGAGGGTGGCGGCCGTGCCCGCGCCGCGCTCGGGCTGCCCCGGGAGCCGCGGGCGCGCCACGGATCCCTCTCGCCGCGCTCTCCGCTCCGAGCCTTTCTCGCCCTCTTCCTTTTTTCTTCCCCCCTCAGTGTCGTCTTGTTTTCCTTTCTTTCTTTTCTTTTTTTTTTTTAGCGCCAAAGTGCGTGCCGCGAAATTCAGATCTCCCGCGGAAAACGCCGCGCTCCCATTGGCCGCCGCGCCCAGCGCCAGCGCCGCCCCCCGGAAAGGAGCGGTCCCCGCCGCGCCGCCGGCCGCCGGTGCCTCCCGGCTTAAAGGGGCCGCTGCACCTGCCGGCGCCCGCAGCCCGCGGCCAGGCCCCGCGGCGTGGCTCCCCTGTCGCGCCCACGGAAAGGCCCGGACACCCTGGGCTTGGGAGGAGACGGTTTGATGGACTCCACATCTGAGTCCCCGCCCCTGCAGTGCCTTTCGCTCTTTGGAAGCCTCTCACCCTTTGGAAGTGTCCGTAGTTGTCTCGCTAGCATTGTGCAGGCGCATAGACTTAAACATATATACACATTTTGCTGGCATATCATATACATGTGTATATATATATATATGCCTGCATAATGCTATATATAGAGATAGAGATATCCCCCTTCTGAACCCAGCCCCTCCACCCCAGCTAAAAGGAAAACCAGAAATCTGTTCTCTTTCTTGACGGAGGGGGTTAGCAGAGCCTGTTACATCTTTTGAGCATCTTTAATATGCCAAGCACTCTGATACTGCATGCTTTTGTTTGGGGAGCCACACCTATCGGTGCTCAGGACTTACTCCTGGCTCTGTGTTCAAGGATCACTCCTGCCTGGGACCATAGGTGATGCCAGGGATCAAACTGGGGCCAAGTGTGTGGAAGGCAAGCCTCTTAGGCCCTGTTATCATCTTGTAATGATTTGTTTGTTTTGTTTTGGGGTCACACCAGCGGTACTCAGGGCTTACTCCTGGTGGGGCTTGGGATACCAGACGGGGTGCCCAGGATTGAATCTGAGTCAATGCAAGGCAAATGCGCTGTACTATTGCTTTAGCCCTGTATTGTTTAGTTTAACCCATAATCGTAGGAATAGGAATGATCTTTTGCTTATTTATGTTGAGGTTTGGGGGGAGGGCTTGGTGCTCAAGAGCTATGTGCAACTTTTTTTTGCTCCCGATGCTCCGAACCCTTCCCTGCCAGTATCTAACCCAAACCTGCATGCAGAGCAAATTTTGCATGCTCTCAGTCGACTGAGCTATCTCTCTGGCCCCAAGAGGAAAGATTTTTTTGGTTGTCTTTTTTGTTTTATTTTGTTTGGTTTTGGGACCACTGCCGGCTGTGCTCTGGGATTACTCCTGGTTAAGTGCTCAGGGATCACTTCTGGTGGAGCTCAGGGGACGTTCTGAGATCCAGGGATGGGATAGGAGTCTATTGTATGCAAGGCAAGCACTTTACCTGCTGTACTATCTCTCTAGCCCAAGAAGAGTGGTCTTCATGAAAAAAAAAAATGGACATCTTTTGGGCAAAGTAACTTGCCCAAAGTCACAGAGACTAGTAGACCTGAGAACTGGCCATCATTGTGGCAAAGCCAGTTGTTTGCTACCATGAAAGTATTTCCTCGTTCTCTTATTTGTTACAGGGAAAGCTTAAAAGACCCTTGTTGGTTCTAGTGAAAGTTTTTTCTCCATTCTCCCAAGGTATACCCTGCTTGGGCTGGAAATGGGGAGTAGGAGGGTCCAGAGCACAGAGCTCTGTCTTGTTCAATCTGTTTCCGGAACCCAAAACAGTAAATATTTTACATCTCCAGTTTTCTCCTAAACAATATTTTTGTCATAAGAGTCTCCCTCTCTCATTCAAAATCTTCATTATTTGGGTGGACAGATAGTACAGCGGATAGAGTGCTTGCCTTGAACATAGCCAACCCAGATTCAACCCTGGCCTCCCATATGGTCCCCCAGCACTGCCAGGAGTGATCCCTGAGTACAGAGTCAGGAGTAAGCCTTGAGCACAGCTGGGTGTGGCCCCAAAAAAACAAGAAAAAAAAATTCACTACTGACAAGTCATTTACACTTCTTATCTCTCCGGTTTAAAGATGCCAGGTTTGACTTAGAAGTGGCAGAGCTGCTAGAAACTGCTACTAAATTCCAGGCCTGCTGATTCCTGCCTAGTGCTGTGTGATTTTACATAAATCTGAGTGTGGAATTCACAGCCTTTCAGAGTCAGTGCCCAGCTTAAGACCTGATCCTCATCTCAGATGGTGAGGATGAAGTAAGAATAATGCAGTGACTAAGAATCCAAGCTTTACATCAACAGACTTCTTTCAAAGCCAGGCTCTGCCACTTCACTGTGTGACTCCAGACAATGTCTGTAAACTCTCAGAGCCTCCATGTCCTCATCCCTAATAACAACCATTTTATAGGATTGAAGAAAAATCTTAGGAGATAAGGGATGTAAAGAGTTTGTTTCAAAAGGAACATGCAGGAATGGCAGCCACTGTTTCCTCTGGCTTTATTGTCTAATATACAGACACTCACAGTCCAGTAATGAACCAATATTTTATTGGTTCATTAAAGCCCAGTTTAAACTTTTTCTCTTCCAGGAAGCCTTCTCAGCCTGCTTTTCCTCTTCCGGTCTGTGATTCCTGTCTTCTTTGAACCCTTGTGTTTTGCCTCAGTAAACATTGCTTTCATGCCTTGTTTATCTCTTTCTTTCTTTCTTTCTTTCTTTCTTTCTTTCTTTCTTTCTTTTTTTCCTTCTTTCTTTCTTTCCTTCTTTGGGTTTTGGAGCCACATCTTGTGGGCTATTTCTGTCTCTGTGATCAGGATGACCCCTGGCAGTTCTCAGGAGACCATGCATGGTGCCAGGGAATGGAATAAGGGTCAACCACATTCAAGGCAAGAGGCTTAACCCCCGTACTATCTCTGTGACTCCCTCAGGTGGGCTGAGGTGATAGTACAGCGGATAGGGTATTTGCCTTGCTCGAGGTTGAACCAGGTTTGATCCCCAGCATCTCATATAGTCCTGCAAGCACCACCAGAAGTAATTCCTGAATTCAGAGTCAGGAGTAACCCCTGAGCATCACCGGGTAAGACTCAAAAAGCAAAAAGTAAATAAATAATCTCCCTCTGGTGTCCAGGGATCTCTCTCTCTCTCTCTCTCTCTCTCTCTCTCTCTCTCTCTCTCTCTCTCTCTCTCTCTCTCTCTCTCTCCCCCCCATTGCTCTCAGAATGTTCTGTTTCTGATGCTCCTCAACATCTAGGGCCTGATCTGGTATGCAGAAGGTGGGTCATAAATATTGACTTTGTGGTTCACTCATCTTCCCAGCAAAGAGGACCCTGAAATCAGATGGCCAGGAAGCCACAGTTCATGTGCTACCATCCACCTGCTGCCTGAACAGCTCTAGACAGGATTTGCTCCCCTTTTCCCCCTGGTTTCCCCACCATTGAATACAAACATTGCTCCCACTGGACTGATCTCACAGGACTCAGACATTATTGGAATCATGGTGGCGGGGATGATGCCAGTAGTCTGAGAACCTGCTATACGCCGCTCCTGAGCCCTTGGACATCTCCTCTGATCCTCACCACACACGCCCTTCTGAGACAAGCTCTGTTATTATCCCCATTTTACAGATGAGGGAATCTGGAAGGAATTGTGGCAGAGCAGGTTTGAGAAAGGAGCCGGGCCCTGGGGCCAGGAAGAGTAATGGGGGTGGCAGGGTGGGGCTGAGACCAAAGAAGGAGCCAGCAAGGGGGCCGAGAGCCAGCTCTCTGAGGGAGTTTCGGGCAGCTGGGCTGGCTTTAGAGTTTCACCGCCTGGGAACTGACTAATTCCTGAAAGAGGTGTGCAGTCAGTCTCCCTGAACTTGAAGCCTCTAGCTTCATTGTGCTTAGGTCTGTAGATCACTGTGAGCCTTCATTTCCTCACCTTTGAAATGGGAAAGGCAAACGTGACCTTTCTATTTCTGAGGAGTCAACAAGTGTTGGCTTTAATATCCTCCAAAGGGTTGGACTGTAGCTACGTTTTACATCTCAACTAAGTCTTATTTTCCTTCCTGGCTCCAAATGCACAAGGTCTTCCTCCCCTCCATTACCTTATGTTCACATTTGAACCATCTTTTAAGGTGCAATTCAAATGGTGTGACAGGAGCAAAGAGAGGGCCAGAGAGACAGCACAGTGGGCAGGGCGCTTGCCTTGCACATGGCCAAGCCAGGTTCAATTCCTGGCACCCCATATGGTACCTTGAGCATCACCAGGAGTCAACCCTGAGCGCCAAACCAAGAATAAGCTCTAGACACTGCCAGGTGGGGCAGAGAGAGAGAGAGAGAGAGAGAGAGAGAGAGAGAGAGAGAGAGAGAGAGAGAGAGAGAGAGAAACTGGAGTCAGACATCTAACTAAAGTTCAGACTCTGGCGCTGGAGCGATAGCACAGCAGGTAGGGCGTTTGCCTTGCACGCAGTCGACCTGGGTTTAATTCCCAGCATCCCATATGGTCCCCCTGAGCACTGCCAGGAGTAATTCCTGAGTGCATGAGCCAGGAGTAACCTCGTGCATGGCCGGGTGTGACCCAGAAAGAAAAAATAAATAAAGTATACTCTTTGGGAAGTGGACCCGTGATTTGTCCTCAACCTTGTGCTATGCCCCCACCCCCAAAGAGTTTCAGGCACTCTCAGTGGGCCATGTCAAATGATGATGGGAATAACCGTGCACTTCTCCTAGCCACTCTCTCAGTGTAGAACACCCAGCTAGGCCCTTCACATGCATGATTAGACTGAAACTTCCCAACTCCCCCACAATACAGGTACATAATTTGGACAGATGAGGAAACAAGCTAAAACATGTAAAGGGACTTGACCAAGGACTGGTTAAAGATGAA